ACATGATTTGAACACCTTTTCCTAGTGACAGGGAGCTGGTGTGGAATTGAGGATGCCTTTGGAAATTTTTAAGAAATTGTATTTTTAAGGAATTGTCCTGACAAAAACCCGCTGGGGAGGCAAGCTCTGAGAATCCTGTCTGCTCTCTCTGTGCGCTGCCAGACCCACAGGGATTTGTTCTGCACCACGTGTAAGGAATTATTCTCCTTGAGAGTCTTCAAAAGTGAGGAAGGAGCTGTAAAACCAGATCCCCATGAAAACTGGGGTTTATGGTACCTCCCTTCATGTTGCTGCAAACATGGGCAGTGCCCAGAGCATATTTTAGAGAGATTTCCCCAATTGTTCGTACATTAACTAAGAGACAGTTGAACAGATTGAGTCTCAATTCCCTTGAGAAGAACAAAAAATGAATCCAAATATCTGTACACAGCCCTCCTAGGGAAATTAAGGCTGATAATCTTGAGGGGCACCTAGTTAATTTTTCATGGAACAACACCACTATCACATAACTGGAGCACTTACTGGACGTGCAGCCTTATCCAGTGCTGACCCAGCAGCCCTGATCCTGCAGCATCAGGGATGTACCTCAGTGGTCCCAGAGGGATGACAGGGCAAACCCGGCTTGTGCTGGCTCATAGATCCCCACAGAGGCTGTTTCCTAAGGCAGAAAGGCCATGTTGGAACAAGGCCATCAATGGGAGAGCACAGCAGATCCATCTCATTTTCCAGCCATGGCCAAGACATTTCACTCAGCCTGTCCTGGTCAGAGCTTGCTGACCTCTTGCTAATGTCAAGGTCTCGGATGCTTCTGGGGGTTACATGCCCCTTACTGTTTGCCTTGACCTCTCCATTTCAGGTGATCCAAGCAGGGAGAACTGATGTGAACCTGTCTGTTCACATCACTCCTATTCTTCTCCCTTTGACCAAATCCGTTCTGGTTTGCTCCATGTTTCTGTCCTCACTCAGTGAGGCTTTGTGTCCTTGGGGCTTTGAAAGTCACTTTAGCGAGACCTGGACATCAGCATGTCATTGTCTTTGTTGGAATCTGCCCCGGGTTCTCCAAAATAGTGAGTGGTCAGAGACCTCTTCATTCAGCAGCTGCTGGGGAGAGGCCAAGTTACTGTCATGCCTGAAAGGTCACTGCACAGGAGCTATTCCCGGTGATGCCACCCTGGCCCTGCCCTGTGCACTGACCAGTATCAAGGTTGTCTTTATGATAATTTAGGTTCCGGACAGTGGTTGCCCAGAGCATAAAGTGATTCATGATGGATGATAACATAATACCACCTTGTTAATGCTCTCTTCCATCTTATCAGATGTCATGATCTTGCCATGTCATGGGGCTTTGTGCTCCTGGCTGATCAGGTTGCAAGGACAGTGACAACTCCTTCAGTGTTTTGACATCTTTGCCACCCCTTCCTTGGCCTTTAAGTAGCCAAGGTATTTTTATTTAAGGTATTTTTTTAAAGCTGGTAATAACGTGTGACAAAAGCTGGCTAGTCTGCTGGAAATATTTATTTCCAAGTTTGCAGAAAGCATTAACTCTGAGCACGCGTTTTTCTGGACTGTTTTCATCGGAGCTGGGGAGCAGCCATTCCTATCCACCCTTGTCACCACTGAGGGCACTGGGGAGTGAACAGTTCACCCCTGTCCCCTTTGGCCAGTGCGTTGTCCCTCCAGCACACACAGCTTTTGCTGTGCAGGTCGGGATGTGCTCCACACATGGAGACCACATTTGCTCTTGGGTCCCCAGGGTAAGGTTTCTTTTCCTTGCCCCAAAGAGCTGCTGCTCTGGTGCAGTGGCTCTGTGTACCCTGGGCAGCAATCAGGGCAGGGAACTGAAGAGAGCTGTGGGGAGGAGGCAGAAGACCCTGGGCAGCTGCAGGACATCTGTTGTAAGGGATGATGTGGCAGGGAAGTGCCTCTCTTGGTGTGCCCAAGGGATCAACAATCCTTCCAGGACTTCAAAAAGACCCCAAATCAGCCAGCTCTGGCCTGGGAGTTCCTTGGCTTTGTGGGCAACATCATCAGCCTCTCAAGCCTCCCAGCTCCAGTCCTCTGGAGTGCTCCGAGCAGAGGTGATGCACCTGGAAGCAATGCCATGCCAGTTAGAACAGGGCAGCATTTTCCAGTCTCTGAAGAGTCTTGTCAGCTCAGGGTATCTGCTAGGCCATGACACTTGATCAATGCACCTTGTCATGGTGTCACTATTCCTTCCCAATTCAATAACCCCTTTTCCTCAGTTATCAAAGGGATCATGAGCTATTCCAGTCCCTGGACAGGGGCTGTTGGCTTTAATAAATGTTGGGTTCAGTCACAGGCTGGAGGCAAGTTTAATGGGAGTGCTGGGCATGTCCTGCTGGCCTGGACAGCAAATACCTGTCTGTGTTACTATCTCTACCTGTCTTTACATTGAGAAAGGTGCTCCCTGGTCCTTCATTTATCACATAATATTTGTCACATAATATGTGGCACATCCCCACTCATGGGCTTAATGCTCAGTACTGCAGCCTCAAAAACTGCAGAAGTACTTAACAGGAAGAAGTGGCCAGTGTTTTGACACATTTTTTAGTCAAAACCTCGATTTTATTTTGGGAAAAAAAAAAACAAACGTATTTTATCAGGGCATGACATCTCATCCACGTCCACACCTTGACAGGCTGAAAGGATGATGTACCAAACCAGGCACCCAGAGCTGGCTGAGTCTGTGCCTACAGGTCGTTGCTCAATGATTTACCTAACTCCTAATATCTCCACGGAAATATTTGCAGTGGAAGTCACCAGAAACCAAATATTGTTTGTTTTGCTCCCCACCAATTATTCTGTATGTCCTAAATGATATCACTTGCCTTTTTCCTGTCGTGAAGCTCTGTATAAGAAGATCCTTGATGCAGGTCATCCTCAGAAGACAGGGACATTGGCTGGAGAGAGCCTCGTCCTCCAGAGCTCTGTCAGGTAAGAGCAAACTTACTCCTCAAAAAGTGTGCTCCTTGCTCCGGCAAACCCTCAATGTTCCTTTGAGAGTGTTGGCTTTTTAGCAAAAATTGTTATTCTTGCCTGCTACCTGCTTGAATTATGCTCCAGCAAGTAAAATGTGCAGCGCCTTTCACTGCGAGTTTCTCAAGAACAGATGTAAGTGTTCACTGGATTTGCAGTCCTTGCAGAAGAAAGGGTATTTCAGGGTTTTCATAAACAATTATCACTTAAATTATCTTTGGTATAACTCTATTATCTGAGATAGATTTCTAGCTAAGGGGAATTAGACCTCTCACACTTGTTTTGATCCCTTTTTGATGAGCTATTTACATTTAAATAGATTTCGGGCAATGAAGTTTGTTTTGGTTCTTTAAAAAAAAAAGAAGAAAAAGCTACTTCAAGTTTTAGGTCACACAGAAATATTTCAATGACACTGAAACTTTAAAAAATATTTTCTGCTTCTGACAATCTTTCCTCCTCCTCCTCTTTCCTCCCGCCATGGGCTGGTGCTCACTCTCCCAGCACTGCACTGACAGCAACCACTTCCCACAGTTATCAGGACCGAAGATGTCGGCGTTCTGGACTGTTGTCCTCCTCAGCAGTCTGCTGGCCCCCTCACAAGGATTTGGACTCATACCCTTGGTTGCCAGAGGAGATACAGATGGTAAGTGTATGTAAGAGATGGGATTTATCCTTTCTTTGGCTCTTTTTGTCTCTTGATCATGCTCAGAAAATCAGAGGCTGGTCCAGATCCACTCAGCAGTAGTGCCAGTGCTGGTAATTTGCATTTATACAGCACTTTGCAGATGTTTCTTCAGATACTTTACAGTGGCTGCTGCCACCACGTCATTTATATGAAGAGGGACAGTGGAGGGGAAGGAACAGCCAGGGTGGCACAACTTGTGTGCTGAGTCCACGTAGCTCACAGTGACCTCCCATCCTATTTTTCATGTTTTAAAGGTTCACCAGCCAGAGGTGTTCCCCAGAAGCCTCAAGGTGGTCTCCTTGGTGGCAATCTGCTCGGTGGTCTCCTTGGCAAAAAGGGTGCCGTAGGCAGTCTCCTTGGACAAGATGGTGCCGTAGGCAGTCTCCTTGGCAAAAAGGGTGCCGTAGGCAGTCTCCTTGGCGAAGACGGAGTTGTTGGAGGTCTCCTTGGCAATGATGGAGCTGTTGGGGGCCTCCTTGGTGGTCTGCTTGGTGGAGATGGTGCTCTTGGTGGTCTCCTTGGTGGAGATGGTCTCCTTGGTGGTCTCCTTGGTGGAGGTGGTCTCCTTGGTGAAGATGGTCTCCTAGGTGGTCTCCTTGGTGGAGATGGTCTGCTTGGTGGTCTCCTTGACAGGGATGGTGTCCTTGGTGGTCTTCTTGGCGAAGGTGGTGTCGTTGATGGTCTCCTTGGCAAAGATGGTCTTGTTGATACTCTCCTTGATACTGTCCTCGAACTTCTCATTGGCAAAAATGGTCTCCTCAGCAAAAATGGTCTTGTTGGCAGCCTCCTTGGGAGAAATGGTGAAGAACTCCTGGGGTGAGTGAGAGTGGGAGATGGGTGGCCCTGAGCAGCCCAGTGTGTCTGGGCCATCCTAAGGAAAGGAGCCTAGTCTGGAGCCTGCTGTCTGCACACACGGGGCCTCCTCTTTCCCCTCATAGGGCAGGTTTATAAGTGGCAGTTCATCTGTTGGGAGTTTCTGCCTGTGCCTGCCATGCCAGGGTGCCTTGTACGGGCCACAAGCTGCTCCTGGCTGCTGGGGATCCCTGATGGCCCAGGGTGGACCCCAAGAGCACAGCTCTAAAATCAGCCACAGTGCTGGGGGGGGCTGAGGGGACGGGGCACCCAATGTACAAATATGCTCTTCACTGCCTTTTCCTTGTTTCAACCATCCAGGCTGAGAATTGTGAACAACACCCTCCCCAAAATAAGTCTGCGCTCCCTGCCAGGCTTTGGGCACCAGGTGGACTTCAACACCCAGCTGCTGGTAGAGAGCAGGTATGGCATGTCCATCTGGGGCATGGCTCATTTGTTTGGAAAGATGGTCAGCAAATTCCCTGACCTGCATGCTGTGCTCCCCCCGGGCAGTGTGCCGGACCAGCCGCTCTGCGAGCAGGTGGAGGTGGATGTGACCATGCTGGTCCAGGACACGTGGACGGCTCACCAGAGCAACATGAACTGCAAGACTGTTGACATGAACACCCGTGTGAGGTAGGAATCCAGTGTGAGGTAACACCTCTGTGAGTGGGGTGCCCGTGGCTCCTGTGGCAGTGGGACACCTTGGTGCTGTTGGCCATCGATGGCAGCGCTTTGCTGTCTGACACCTTGGAGGGTGAACTACCCGGCTGTCAGGCTTGGAGGGAAACTGCCATCCTTTTTTTAAAATTTGGGCTAAGAAAAGAACATTTCAGAGTGCTGGGAACCTAGCCCCGGGTGGGATTCAGAGGGCTTGGGTTTGGTAATGTTTTGGCTCTGAATACAGACAATTCAAGTGAGGCCTCATGTTTCTCTTGTGTGAAACACTTCTACTTTCCAGTACTAACCTAAGTCACTTGTTATTTCCTATTTTTCTGCTACCAGTCCCAGAGTGCCAATTCTGGATGAGCCTTTGAAACGCCTCCTTAGTGATGTCCTGAGTGATCTGGTGAGTCTGCACAGCCATCTTCACACCAGCCACCAGCACAGTGCTGGGTGGGCAGGCAGAACAGGCAGCACCGGCAGTGGGGGCAGTGCAGGCAGGGCAGGCAGTGGACCAGGCTGCCCCATGGATGTGGCTGTTTGCACAGCTGTGGGCTCAGCTGGGGCGGTCAGCCTGTCCTCCCTGCTGAAAGACACCAGCACCATCACCCGTGCCAGGCTCTGCTGGCAAACAGATTTCTGAGGCAGGTGCTGGTTTAGCAGCCACTAACCCAGGTGAGACCTACGCTGGGCCAGAGGGGCCACTCACCCACCCGATGCTGAGCTCTGCGTGATGGGATGTCCCACCCAGCACTGCCCACAGTGGCTCTGCCCACGTGTGCAGCCCAGCAGAGCCCGCTGTCGCTGTTGGTGCCATGTCACCCACTGCTGCAGCAGGTCCCAGGACCCTCTCACTTCCCTCTTCCTCCCCAGGGCTGCAACATCATCAATGCCAAGCTCAACGTGGTGAACTCTCTGCTTGGCTCCAGGAACCGTAAGTGCCTGCACCTCCTTTCCCTCTGCTCCCAGGGATCCCTGCACTTAGCATGGCTTGTTTTTTTGCACTGGGTAAATACACATATTTTAGCAATTTTCTAAAAACACAACTCCCAGCTCAAGCCCAGCATTAAGATTCCCTGCCCCTGCAGCAGCAGCCAACTCTTCCTGCAGCAACCCACTGCAGGAACTGTTGCTTTAAGAAACAACATTTTTTTGCTACGAAATAGAGTTTTCTGGCAGCTGGGAACTCAGTGAGCAGGAACTGCCATTGGTTTCAGTAATTCTTGGGACCGTGGGATTTGGGAGCATCCCTTGCCATTGCAGCAGAAGAGTTTTCTTCCCTGTGTCCACAGAGTTGCTCCCACTTGGGGCTCTGGGGGACCTGCCCCCCTTCTCCATCCTCAGCAGTGACTCCATCCAGCTGGATCTGAACGTAAGTGCCACCGTGTTCCCTGGTCCCAAAATCTCTAATGTGGTGAGTTTGGGTGGTTCACTGGAACGTTTGTCACTGGCTGTTTGTCAAAGGCTTCTTTCATTCCAGCTGCCTTCAGGCACACGTTTTTCAGAAGGGTCTGATGAGTCTGCCCCAGCCACATCCCTGCTAATGCCACTGCTGTGTCTCTACCTGATTTTTTTTACCTGTTAATCCTTGATGGTGGCATGAGCCACCATGCTACTTAGCTATTAGTTAAGCATAATTGTAGCACTCTCATAGTTGTTAATTAGAAAAGTTTAATTTCATGCAGGAGAAGCAGTCACTGCTCACAGGCCTGTTCTATTTATAAGTGGTTTGTCAAAGTCTGGAAATTGATAGGGACCGTAATCAGGCCCAAAATATCAGCAGTGTGTTTTTCCAGTTGGGAGATATGGCAGCATTTTAATGGGGAAGGGGTAACAGATGCAGCCTTGTCTGTGCCAGAGCAGCCTGGAGCAGCCCTGTGTTCATTAAAGTGCCAACAAACCCTGTGTGAGCCTCTCCACAAGGTCCACGGGTGGGCAGGGTGCCCTGTGCAACCCTCTGAGCACCACCAACATCCCTCCCCACTCTGTCCTGTATAGCTCCTCTCCGGGAATGCCAAGGGTGGCACTGTGGCCCCCACTCAGCAACTGCCTCTCGCTGCCACCCTGCTGCTGACCACTGGCCGCCCACCACAGCTCAGCCTCTCCCAGGACACCCTCAGGGCCCTGCTGGAGCAGGTCCAGGGGCAGGGAGCCCTCAACCTCAACATCACCAACTCGCTGATGAGCAGCCAATCCCCTCTCCAAGGCCAGGTCAGTGTCCTGGTTGCTCTTGGGTGACCCAAACGTGCTCACTGCTGCCTGCTTGTGTTTGTGGGGTCCAGCTGTGCCCAGCGTGGGCTTGGCACAAACCCTCCTGGCCAACGATGTCACTGGTGCTGTTCCCACAGGTTCCCGAGAGCACCTCGCTGTCCGTGTCTGCCCTTTTCCCGTTCATCCCCCAGGTCAGTCACCTCCTCCGTGTGCATCGATTCCAAACCCTCCACCCACCTCAACCATGCAAATACCCCCTTGCCCTGACCTTCTCTGCCCCTGCAGCTTGCCCGAGCCCTCCCTAGCTCTCTGCCACTGGAGCTGCGTGTCCGGATGAGAGATGAGCCAGTGGTGGCCGTGAGGAATGGAAAAGCCACCGTCACCCTCAAAGCCTCCATTGACGTCCATGTTCCTGCCCTGCAGACCTCCCAGGGGCTCCTCTTCTCCGTTGACACAGTGAGTGAGCTCTGGGGGGATGAGATCCCCAGAACAGGGCAGTGGCTGAGGCTGGCTGCCCGCTGACATCCCCTTGACTTGTCCTGCTCTCAGCTCTGCAGTATTTGTACTTTTGAATTTACTGCATCATCAAAACGGTGCTGCTCAGTCCTTTAAACACACTCGTAACCAAGCACAAAGTGTAAGTAAAATGTTTCAGGAACAGCTCAATATAAAGACAGGAAGGTGAACCCTGGGGAGAGAGATACATGATGCCATCCATCACAAAAATGTGGCTTCTGGGCACAGACAAGTGTTTTTTCTTAGAATGAGTAATTTACAAATACACTTTTCAGTCTTGGGAGCTGTGCAGGGGAATAACCTCATTTCTTTCATTGTTCCATTTTCAGGACATTGTTCTGAACATCACCCCATCGGTCTCTGATGGCAAACTGCAAACCTCCCTGGCTCTTGACAGGTAGAGACAAGCTCTGCAGGTGGCAGGGCTCTGCCTGGGGACCAACAAATGGGGCTGGTGGCAGTGATGGGGGACTGTGATGTAGACATGCCAGTAGAGATGCCATGTTAGGCTGCCAGAGCCTTCCTGCCACCTCCCAGCCCCGAACTCAGACCAAGTGCATGGCTGAAGTCATGAGACAGTTGTAAAAAAGTTGCCCTATTTTCAAAATCCTGTATCTTTATGAGGGTGAGACAAATTCCAGACCAAGAAAGGGTCTGGAGGAGGAGGCTGCACCTGATGCACCCCAACTCTGCCTTGTTTTTATCTTTTGTAGCATCAAGGTGACACGGTTCCCCCCGTCACTCAACCCTTCCACCGTAAGTGCTTGCACTGGATTGAGGTGCTGCAGGGATTGATGCAATGGTCAGAGGGTCTGTGTAGGGGGGGAAAACCCAAAAGCCAGTTCTTCTTCAGTCTTCACCTTTCTTCTTCCCCTGGTAGAGGCCAATTACTCTCTGCCCTGCCAATCCCCTGTGCCCTACAGTGATGACACTTGCGTGTCTCTCTTCACTTTGTGGCAGCACAATGGGGGTGCTGGGAAGGGGAGAGGAATAACCAAGAAGAAATTACCCCAAAAGCATGTCCCTGCAGATCCCACCTCAGTCCTGGAAGGCTTTCACTGTAGGAAGCTTCCCAGCATTTGTGTTCCATAGCAAACTGAGTAGAACTCAGTTGACAACCCTGACATGGCTGATTTCAGCTCAACAACCATTGCTCTCTCCTGCTACTGACACATCCTCTTCCCTGCAGGTCCCCTCGCTCACAGAATGGCTCAAGCAGATCCTCACGGCTTCATATGTATCTGATATTGATGGTATGGCAGGGTGGGGTCCCCTCTTATCTCAGACAGATTTGGGGCTCTGCCCGTCCCCTTGCTGCCTGTGTTTAGGGTTTCCTCCCTGTGACAAGATGCTTTCACCTATTTTTGCAGACATCATCCATGTGTCGCTCCCTCTGCCCAACGTCCTCAACAGCAACCTCAGGAGCGCTGAAGTCACCATCACTGACGTAAGGATTGCCTTTCCCACCATGCCGTGTCCCAGGGAGTGGGATGAGCCCACCCGGGGTTGGGACCTGCAGATCTCACAGCCCCACACTACCCCGGCCAACCCCATTTCCCATGGGCTGCTCCCAGTGTCCAGGAGGTCCCTCTGCTGGTGTGGACCCACAGGAAAACCTCACCTGGGGTGAGGTTTTTCCTGTATCCACCTGGGGATATAGGAAAACATAGGTGAGAGTTTGAATGAGAAAACTGAGTAGTTCTTGTGCTGCGTCTTCCAGGTGGGCGAGCTTCCCGGCCAGACCACTCTGGAAAGATACTGCTCGGGAGGAGCCTCGATGCTGCTCCCTTTCTGAGGCAGCACAATGTGCACCCCAAGCCTTGCTCCACTTTCTCCCTCTCTTCCTTTCCCTCAAGCACTGCCCTGTGCTGTGGCTGTGGCCTGAGCAAGGCCAGTGATTGCCTCTGGCTGGCATCAGGGTGGGAAAGCTGCTCTGCTGGTGGATGTCAGGGTGTTTCTGGGGCCCCTTTTAACATCCACAGCTATTCCTTAGGCAGAAAGATTACTCTTGTATTGCTCTTTCAATAAAAATCTCTCATTGCCTCAGTATTTCCCTTTCTGGATATTTATTTATACGAGTTCTGGCTACCAGCACCCGTTTGCACTGTATCCCTCTGCCACATGGCCCACAGAGGGGTAGCACAGCAGGGTGAGGAGGCTGCACCTACAGCCAAGAAACTGGTACCTTCAGAGAGCGTTTCTGAAGCTCAGCCTGTGACACCAGGTGTGAAACAGCCACTCACAGGGGGGCTGGGTTTGGTGGTGGTTGGTGCTCTGCTGCAGCCCATCTTGTGCCCGACTGATGGAGGGCAGAGAGGGGCTTGCCATGCAGCACTGGCACAGATACAGCAAAGCTCCTGCTGACATCTCCCACTCCCTTGGAGCCCTTGTTCCAGCCACTGCAGGGAGCAGTTCCTGGCCAGTGGCTTGCTGGCAGCAGATCCCACATGGTGGGATGGTGCTTGTTGTGCAAGGCTCTGTCCGGAACCAGGCACGGATAACCTGAGCTCACACCTCCTTTGTTTAGAGGTATGCTATACCCTGGTTGTGTAAGATGAACTAAGTTGCCCAAAAAAGCACATTTGATCTCACAAAGGTATTAAGTGTTGTGGGCACATGGACAAAAGGGCCCTTATAGCCTGGAGTGGCTGGGGAGGTGTCACAGCACAGGGACTTTTTGGAGGCTGTGGAAGTACTGTCTGCTGGGAAGGAGCTGGCAGCTGCAGGGTGGGTGGGGCAATCCTCAGGAACCACTCCTTGAGGTTCTTCAAGCACTAAAGGAGAGAAAAATCTCCTGGCGCTTTTCTGAAGCCTCCCCATGCACTTGCTGGAAACGTAAAAAATTCCCCCTGATATGGTAAGTTGTGTGTGCCAGCTGGTGTGCAAGTGCCAGCAGGGGTTTCTCTGGAATAAGCTGATTTCCCAGCATGGCTCTTTCAGATCAGCACAACCTCCCTGTTACAGCCACAGAATCTTGGGCTCCTTTTCCTTCTCTTTATCCCTGGGCTCTGGGGTAGCAGTGCTGCCTGATACTGGGTGTCCAATAACCTGTTGCTCAATGCTTTTCCCTGGCTTAAAAATCTTCACTCATATTGGAATATAAACGTATGTAATATAGGAAAATCACATAATTAAAATTTCAACTGGCCGGGAGAAAGCTCTGTGCAGGGTCTGATGGCAAGTGATGTGCCCAGCTCTTACAGGCTCCCTCGGTCAAGAACAAGTCCTCCAAGGTGCCCTGGGAGAGGTGCCACTCCAAAATGGATGTCCCAGCACTGATGGAAGTGGGGACCTGCTGAGGGGTCTCATAGGAGGTGTCCCTGGTGGCAGTGGTGGTGGTGGTGGTCTGCTTGGTGGTATTACTGGTGGTCTGCTGGGTGGTGGTGGTGAAGGGCTGCTGGGAAGGCTGGCTGGTGGTCTGATCGGTGGAGGGGGCGATGCTGGTGGTGGCTTGCTGGGTGCAGGGGGTGGTGGAGGTGCTTATGGTGGAGGTCCGAGAAACCCTCCCAGAGGCTGGCCAGCAGCTGGTGGCGATGTCCCCAGGGATGCATCCCTGTGGGGGTTGCTGGAAGAGCACGGGGACAAGGAGGTCTGCTTGGCAACGGAGGTCTCCTAGGCAGACCAGGGATACTCAGAGGCTTTGGTGGCCTTCTTGGCAGAGCAGGGCTCCTGGGAAATGAAGGGCTGCTGGGAGGCAGCGGCCTGCTTGGCATCCTCAGGGAAGGTGGCTTGCTCAGCACCATCCAGGGGCTCACCGGGTAAGGACAGCATCGTCTGGGTGCCTTGCAGGGGGACAATCTCAGTGCTGTTTTGGGGGAGCAACGGTGGTGCTTTGGTAGATGCTCAGGTCTGTTTTGGAGCTGATGCTTTGAGAAAAACGAGATAAAAGCTGCCTGGGAATCCTGCAGGTTTGCATCGCAAAGGAGCCTCCTGAGCTGCCCAAGGAAGGGCAGAGGAGGCGGCAGCACGGAGGTGTTTGCCCATAGAGGGTGCAAGAGCTGCGCGCTGGTGGCTGCTGCCGAGCCAACACTCCCGTCTGCAGCCCACATGATTAACTCTGCTTTGAAGCCCAGCAGAAGCAGAAAAAAATGAGAAAGCAAAAGAACCGAGCTTCTGATAAAACTGGAAAATAACTAAACCAGGGAAATAACTGAGAAAACTTGGTATCTTTTGCCATTTCTGGTCTAACTGGTCTCTGACTCGCCCACCTCCTCAGCGTGGCTGTGTGTGAGCAGTGGAGCCGGGATGGTTTGTGCCAGGCTCAGGACTGTCACTCGCAGTGTCCCCCTCGCTGTCCCTGCAGGCTGAGGATCGTGGAGGTGACGCTGCCCAGGGTGTCCCTGAGGCTCCTGCCTACCATTGGTGCCCACCTAAACCTCTACACCCTGGTGGCCCTCAAGGGCAAGAGGTGGGTCAGCCTGGGGGTGGAGCTGCTGGTGGCAGTGCCAGCCACGTGCTGGGACCAGGGGAAGAACCTTCCTGGAGGGTGTCTCGGGGGGGAACACTGTTCCTGTCCCTTGGGAAGAGTCTGTTGCTCTGAAGGTCACTCCCTTCTCCCTGTGTAGCCTCTTGGGTTTGCTCGACATCACCGTGGAGGTGAACATCACAAACAAGGGTCAGGCTGACCATGGATGGCATGGGCTACCCTGAACTGGTGACAGAGAGATGCAACACACTCCTGGGTGGCATTAAAATCAGACTCCTGAGCGGGTGAGTGACGGTGGTGTCCTCCTCTGCAGCCACGAGCTCTGCCAACCCCACCCTGCGAATGGCAAACACATGAAGGCATTTCCCTGTTACACATCTCCATCCCACCATCCCTGCAGGTGACGGCCACTCACTGGCCATGTCACAGGGCTGAACAACGGGCTGGTGGTGATGGTCTCTGTGTGCCCCTCACACAACCACAGAGAAGGGATGTGCTCTCCCAGAAGTCCCGTGGGACAGTTCTGTCCCATGTGCCACGTACACAGGTCATTTTAACTGACATGGTGTGGGGTCTCCTGAGACGTGAGCACGTGGTGTGTACATTGTAGGAGCCACTCGGGCTGAGGTTGTTTCTGCTCATTTAAGGAGACTATGCACTAGTAGATAAAAGGCAGCAATAAATTTCCCACTGGCTATTTTGGGATGCAAATTACAGTTATCTCATGCAAAATCCAAGCAGAAACGATTCACTTTGCTGCTGCAATTGCCTTGCTCCGGGAGGTCTGTGCTCAGCGCTATTCATAGGGAATTGTTTAACAAGACCCATTTACTTTGCAGCAGGTTGTTTTCATGGTGCTCCTTTATTTTTCCACAGCCTGCTCCCAATTGTGGATAATTTATTGGCAAGTGTCCTGAACAGACTTCTTCCTAATCTGGTAAATCAGAAAAAAACCCTATTCTGGGAAAGAGTGATGAATCTGAAAAGCTGCAGTGCAGCTCCCCATGGCATCGCTGGTGCTCAGAGCAGGAGCACAGTCAGTGTCCCAGGGCTGCTGCATCCACCCACCCAGTGGCTTGGGATTAGTGGGGGACACATACCATGTCTCCAGCAGGTTGGGAGAAGCTTTTCCCTCCTTCTCAACGTGAGGTCTGCCCAAGTGCTGGGAGTTCCTAACAGTCCTCTGGACCATGTTACAGACTAATGGAGTCTCTTCTCCCATCTGAAAGCCACAGGGTCTTTCTAGCCATCCCCCATGGGCTCCTGGGCCCCAATCCCAACCCCACTTCTCTGAGGGAGGGCAAGGTGCCCAGGGACACACCCAGAGCTGGTGGAGTCCCCGTTGAGGCTGCCATCCCATGTGCCTGCTCCTCCTGTGCCCAGGGAAAGCCCTGCACAGCCAGGCGGGGCTGCGTGTCCTTGTCTGGCTCTGAACACGGGTTCTCACCAGCCCACCCTGACTCCTGCAGCTCTGCCTGGTGGTGGACATCGCCCTGGGACTTGTCAATGACCAGCTGGGACTTGTGAACTGTAAGGACACTATGGGTCCCACGTCTTGTCACTGCCCTGCACCGCGTGTCACCTCCACTCCAGCTGCGGGAGGACTGGGACACCCTTTGCTCTGCTGCTGCACCTTGGGGGGAAAGAGCAAACCCCTCGCTTCGTCCTGACCCCAGATCTGCCCCTTGCCAGGAGCAGGGACTCCCAGCAGCTTCCTGCCCAGAGCACAACCTGAAAACCAGGGCTCTTCTGGAAGAAAAGGAGCTGCAGGGCAATGAAGGGAGGATTTGCAGCTGAGTCCAACTGGGAAACACGGACACTCCCTTCCTCTGTCCCCAGCACTGGTGCCCCTGGGTTTGCTGGGCGGCATCCAGCACACTGTGTTCAGCCTTCTCCTGGCAACAGGCCAGTTCCTTGAGGTGGACTTGAACGTGAGTCCTGTATCTTCTCCTTCCATCTATGCACAGGGGTTGGGACATTTCCCTTTGGTTCAGGAGGTACTCCTTGGGCTGTGTACCCCTGAACAGGGGGCTCCAAGGTGAGCTGTGGAAGTTGGCAGAGGTCCTGGCTCTGTGCCCTGCTCTCACCACTGTCATGGGAGAACGCAGCAGGGTTTGGGTTTCATGAGTTCTGGAGAAGGAAGTGTCACGGGCCTGACTTGGCGAGGCCATGCACGCAGCCATTTCACACCGAGGGAATATGAAGTTAACCGTAACAGCAAATATTGCAAACGTTTTGACCTGCGTTTCCTTTCCCTGTGATTCCAGACTGTTGTTGGGCGAGCAACTGGAGGCCTGGTGGAAAGCCAGAGACTGTCTCCAAACCCCCATGGGTCCCTATGCCACCCTTGCCACCCATGGCAGACACCAGCTCCTCCCAACTGGGCCTCTCAGTGAACTTCCTCAGCTCAGTACTGGCTGTCCTGCAGATGGAGGGTGCCCTGGACCTGGACATCTTCACTGGCATGGTGAGAGGGGAGCGCTGCCCAGATCTGGAAGGACATGGGGCTATCAGACAGGCAGGGTGAGGGCTTGTCCCACCGAGTGATGCTGTAGGACCTCTGTACCATGTGTCAGGGTCTCTGCTACCTTGGGCAAATGTGTGAGTGAGACCACGTGGTTAAAGCATCATTAGCAAAAACAGCTGCTGCTGAAACCCACCACACACACGTGCAGCGTTTCACAGGGTCACAGGATCATTAAGGTTGGAAAAGACCTCCAAGGTCATTGAGTCACACCAATCTCTCTCTTCTCTGTCCCAGTTTCCTGAGCTCCCACCACTGACGACGTGGACACTTGGAGCTCTGGTTCCTGTGGTGAGTCCTGGGTGCCCCTCGCCCTGCAAATAACCTGGTAAGAGAAGCAGCATCACCTTGGTGTGGGGCTGGCTGTTCGTGCTCCCCCAGCCAGGACAAGGTGCTCTCCACAGGGCTCAGAGCATCCCTGGGGCTGAGCTCACAGCCTGCTTGAGTTCACCCCAGCCAGCTGAGGTACAGACAGCTGCTCTGGGGCTGGCTCACAGTTACCATGATGCTCAGGGGATGCTCTGGGGTCTGCAGGGAGGAGAGGGGGGAGAAAGAGGAGTCATGGATCTCTACCTCTGCATGGCTGCCCTGGGCTGGCACGGGTGCTGTTGGCAGAGCCCATCACCATCCACACCACGGCCACGACCACACCAGCACCTGAGACACTCCTGGCCCTGGTGACTGCCCTCAGGGGGAACTGCAGTGGGGCTGGGTGTGCAGAAGGATTCATTGTTGGGGGTTATCATGTGCCAGCACACTCCTGCTCTGCTCTGGGTCACGTTGGGAGAGCAAATTGAGAGAGAACCTGTGTATCTGTGAGCAGCAACAGACTCTTGAGCCACAGCCCATGCCCTGGCCACAGCCATGGCCATGTTGAGGAACCACATGGCACTGGACTGGATGGGGCCTGACCCAGAGCATCCCCTGCCCAGGGACATGAGCCCCTGCCCAGCACTCAGGGGTGGTGGGGGTTGCCTGGCTTCACCCTCAGTCCCGGCACATCTGCCCAGGCATGCACAGGGTGCAGGACAGGAGGAGCCCTTGGAGCAGGGTGGTAGCGAGCCTGGAGAGCCAGTGGGCACTGCACCCAACCCCAGGTGAGGGGTTGAGCTGCTGGGCTGGCTGGGTGCTGCTGACCACAGCCTGGCACTGCTACATGCAGCACTCGGGGTCAGGCTGGTGCAGGAGTCACACTTCACAGCCAGCAAAGAGGAAATGTCCCCGCTCCATCCTTCTCTGGGCTTTCCTCATTCCTCACGTCGGGTATATAAAAGCCACTGCCAGCAGCTGTGACCGTGGGCAGCTCCACTGTGACATCAAAGGGTCCAGGTAAGTGGCACTGAAGGACCATGGCCACCGTGCCGGCTCCATCAGGCAACCCACAGTGTAGTGTAACTGGGCTTGAAAAGCAGGAATTTTAATGATGTTTTCCTTTGATTTCTGTAGCAGCATTTAATCATTTATGAAAATTAATTTTTAAAGCTAGCAGAGATCTTCCTTGTTAAACTCTGCGTTTATTCCTGTTGTTGTTAAGTTTGTGATAATGACTAAGCTGGCAGAAAAGGACTGGGAGTTTTTTCACGATCTTGGTGACCAGAATTCAGAACAATTTTCAGCTTTCCAGACCTCGTCTCGGCTGGTGTAAAATAGGTGTTTATCTGCAAAGCCAGACGTGCCTTTTGCATGTGCAAGATGCTCAGCTCGCTGAAATGTGTGTGACCGAGGAGCAGCACCCCGATAGATATTGCTAATAACTGCAGAGATAGCTGCCTGCTTGGTCACGTATTCTCTCTAAGAGCTCTTCTAAGAGCCCTGACATCCATTTTGGCACCCTTTTGCAATGCTGTGCACGTCTCGCCGAGCCCCTCCAACAAATCCCACTGATTTTATTTGACACGATTTTCAATAGAAGCTGCTCGAGCCTCTCTCCTTCTCTCCTGTTCAATAATCGTGGCTACAGGAGCTGTGCATCATTACGTGCTGATCAAAGGGAAAACGTAAAAGACAGTCGAGTGAATTAAAGTCTAATTTAATTGTGTCGAGAACTGTCATAGAGGGATTTTTTAAAAGTATCTGGAAGAAACAAAGAAGTTGTTCAGTCTGACCTAAATAATGTTATTTCTCAATGCTGAACCTCTGCAATCTGCATCTCATACCTTTTATTCCTCAGGAGGGACAAGACGGGGTTTCCATCTGGGACACAGGCTGTGAAGGCAGGTGCTCCTGGAGCTGGGACCCACGGCAGTGCTGCAGCAGGAGCCTCTTCTCCTTTCTTTGCAAACACCTTTCCGTGCATAAACAAACACTTTCCAGCCTGCATTGTCACCCCGAGAAGCCGAGTTTGGGCAGGAACAGGAGGTCCTTGAAGGTGTGTTCTTTTGGCTCAGGGCAGATCAAACACGGGGAAAACGGGCTCTTCTCACTGCCTGAGTGAAGCAAGGTGAGAAAAACAAACAATCTGCCCACAGGAAAGTGAGTCTGATTCTGGCTGTGCTTTGGGCTTTAATAATTCAGGGTGCTCTTCACAGTGGGCAGAAGGACACTACTGAGATGCTCGTCATTTTTTATCTGGCCGTGCCCCTCTGAGAGTTCCGCTTTCAGGGCCATTTCGGAGCAGTGGGAAGCCATCTATCTCTCTCAGTACAAGGTCCTCCTCCCTCATCTCCATCCCTCTTCCTCTCTTAAAATGGCATTTTCACTTCCCTGCAGTATCAGGCACCCAACTCTGCAGTGTGGGAGCCCAGACATCGATGGCTCTGGAGCAGTGCAGCACCGGGCTCCAGCTACTCTCTGCTAACCAGTAGTAGTTCAACCTTTCTGGGTGGGAAGAAGGTGCTGCAGGCCTGGACTGATCCCCTGGGGATTGGGGGGATGGTTTCTGGAAGCTGTATGTCCAGGGGGAACCTCCTCCATCACCCCAGGGCAGTGCACGTGAAGGATGGGGAGCTGTACCAGTACCCAGGCTGCCTATACCCATGTGCTGGAACTGGTGCATGGGCTGATGTGGGTCTTTCCACAGATGCTGGGTCAGGAGATGCCACACTTCTGGTGTCTTATCCTTTTTGTGGGCCTCCTGCCCTCCTCCCAGGGCCTCCTCAACCTGCTGAACCCAAAGCAAGCCGCAGGTGGTGAGTTCAGATATTTTCTCTGTTTCCAGGGGAGGGTCATGGCACAGTCCTGTGCCATTTTAGGCTCATGGTGTGTCCCTCTGATCATCAGGGAGATGCTTCCTGGCAGGATCATCTCTGTGGGGAACCCAACTTTGCTCAAGGATGTTCAGGGGTCCCTATGAGATCTCACCAGCAGAACAACCTAACGTGGTCGAATCAACCTTTCTTGTCAAAGGAATCTTCCCAATGGTGGAAGTCTGATTAGTAACTGGGACTCCCTTGGTGCAGGTCTGCTTGGTCTCATTGGTGGAAAAGGCGGATTGCTTGGCACAGGTGCTCTTGGTGAAGGTGGGCTGCTTGGCACCGGCCTCCTGGCCAAGGGAAGTCCAAGTGGAGCAGAAAGCGGAGGTCCCCTTGAAGCAGGAAATGAGCCCAGCAGATCTGGGGTCCTTGGCACAGGCCTCCTAGGTGAGGAAGGTCTCCTTGGCATGGGCGTGCTTGGGAGAGGAAGGTTTCTGGGCAGTGATGGCCAGGACAGTAACAGAGTTCTGACTGTTGCAGGACAACCTGGCAGCAGCGGTCTGCTTGGCACAGGCATCCTCGGTGGGAAAGGCCCTGGCACAGGCATCCTTGGTGGAGAAGGACTTGGCACAGGCATCCTTGGTGGGGAAGGCCTTGGCACAGGCATTCTTGGTGGGGAAGGCCTTGGCACAGGCATTCTTGGTGGGGAAGGCCTTGGCACAGGCATTCTTGGTGGGGAAGGCCTTGGCACAGGCATTCTTGGTGGGGAAGGCCTTGGCAATGGCCTCCTCGGCAATGGCCTCCTCGGCAATAACAGCCTTCTTGGAGATAAAGGTCTGCTTGGCACAGGGCTGCTTGGGAAAGGAGGTCTCCTAGGCAATGGAAGTCTACTTGGTCTTGATGGTCTTCTGGGTGAAGCAGGAGGAATTCTGGGTGCAGGAGGCCTGCTGGGTGGTGGAACCTCTGAGAAGATATCATTCTATGCCTGGTGAGTCAGAAGCCCCATGGTGGGGCTCACTGCAGCATGACCAATAGTGTCCAGGGGATCAGACCCTCCCTGTCATACAAACCACCAGTCCTGGGCTCACATGAGGATCTGTGACAGGGGAAATTCCAACCGGAAACGGGAAAAGTCTTCCCCATGGGAGTGCTGTGACACTGCGATGGGCAGTCTGGGAGGTGGGGGAATCTCCACCCTCGGAGGTGGTTGAGAGCAAGCAGGACACAGCCCTGAGAAACCTGACCCTGCTTTGAGATTGGCTTTTCTTGGAGCAGGGATTGGTCCTTCCCCACCTTCACTTTTACCTAGGAGTATCCAAATGGGTAACAGGTCAAATGATGAGCAGGAAGAGATGGGACTGTAGGGTCTGCTCCTGCTGATCCTGACATCTCAAGGTGGGTTTGATTCGGTGTTGACCCCCAGGTTGAAGGTGCTGAACCTCGAGAATGCCCGAGTGTCGTGGAAGGTCCTTCATGGGACTGAGCTGGTGCTGAACCTGTACTCGAAGCTGGTGCTCCGCTTTCCAGGGTGAGCAGGGCTGGAGAGAGAGGCCACGGGGGGCCTGAGGGCACTGGGGAGGATGGGACACTCCCTGCTGCTGGAGAAACATCCCCAAGTGCTGAGCAAATGGGCTGGTGAGGAAAGCTCTGGGCTTTACTGCTGCCTCTCCCTGCAGCCATTTCCACCTGTCCTTACTCCAAAGGTGCTATTGCCATCCCTGGAAGTGTTCAAAAAACCTGTGGATATGGCACCAGAGGACATGTTTAGTGGTGAACATGGTGGTGGTGCTGGGTTGATGGTTGGACTTGGTGACCTAGAGGTGTTTTCCAACCTTAATGATTCTATGATTCTGTGATCTGCTACAGGACCAGGAGCCTGGTAGAAGTCCCAAGACTAAAGCACTGTACCAGCCGAGCCTGTGCTTGCAGCTCCAGCATATGCACTGCTCTCCTGTGCTGCTTCTGTTTCCCCCATAACCCTCCACGCTACTTCCCTTTTTTCCAGGATTTTTAAGTTCCTGAGTGGATCCTCGGTAGAAACCAACATCACGTCACACATCGCCGTGACCCAGGACAGCCCCGGGGACCTCAAGCTGGTGATTAAGGATTGCAACAACATGCTCGGCGGCTTCAGCGTCAACCTGCAGAAGGGGTGAGTGTGTGGGTGAGCCCCTGCAAGTTTGCAGTGGGGCAGAACTTCGGTGTCACGGACTGACACCATCACAACCAGATTATGGGATTCAGATAACCGAGTCCTGAGCATCTGCAATTCCTGCTAAAGCCTGGGGGAGCTGTGGGCTCGCGGCATCTTTTAATGTAAGAGGAGAGAATATGAGAGGGGCTCCTCCACAACCGCTGTTTTGTCTTGATGTCAAGTCCTAGGTTTTGACAACTTCCCTGGTAATTTTTGTGTGTCTTTTCCCTCCCCAGCCTCCTCACCAACCTGGTGAGCAACTTGCTGAACTCTACTCTCAAGTCCCTTGTCCCTGCGCTGGTGAGTGTCTGAATGTTCTTTGCTGTGAAGATGCATTTCAGCTGCAATCAGTGCTCCTGCCAGAACTCTCTGGAAGATTTACACACACACACACATACACACACAGAGGATCACAGAAGAGCTTGGGTTGGAAAGGACCTTAAAGATCAGTTATTTCAACCCCCATCCCATGGTCAGGGATGATATATATATACACAATATATATACAATATATATTTATGCCTGCAACCCATAAGTGAATTCCACAAAATTCCTTGATCTTCCTTACAGTCAGAATTTATTTGTTAGGAGTAATTTCAATTCCATCATGCAATGTTATGGGATAATTTGTACTCAGCTGCTCCCTGGGGGGGATGAACAGAAGCAACAGCCCCACTTAGAGCAAAGGGGCCTGTTAGAGGATCTCTTGTCCTGTTCAGTAGAACCTGTGCTGTTTTAAGAAGAGGGCTGAACAAGTCATATGGCTCTTCTTCCATGGAGGAACTGTGCTCCAGGAGCCTGTTGTTCCATCCTGATTTAAGTCTGTGAAACTCAAGCCATGCTGGGGAACGTGCTGTTGCACCCACAGTGTTCTCACCAAGGCTGTGCCACTTGTTGCCATTGCAGCTCTGCCCGTTAGTGAACATCTGGGTCGGCATCATCAACATGAAACTACAATTCCTCAACCGTAAGTCGTTAAGTTTTCTTTTCTGTATTGAGTGACACTTGGGTTTCGTGTGTCCAGCCACCTCCACGGGCAGCAGGAGTCCCGAGGAGAGCTGAATTCATGGGAGCAGGAGTCTCTCTGCATGGAGCAGGAGCAGCTTTGCTCCGCCAGCAAAGCCACTGTGGGTGGCACAGTCCTGCTCACTGCCACTGCCAGACACCACAGTCCTGCTCTTCTCATGGGTGTTTGTCCCACCGGGGACAGACTCAAGCTGTTGCCAAGAGGTGGCTCTGCCTGGACCCTCCACTGCTGCCCCATAGAACTGGTGGGGTTTTCCCTCCCCAGATCTGTTCATGTCAAATCTCACACAGACATGATTGCTGCTTCACTGCAAGCAGAGCTGTCCCCATTTACCCACAACATTTCCCCCGTGATGGGACACGCATCTGGAAGTTCCTGGGCAGCAGCTTTCGTGGGAACCTTTGAACCCCGGGAGGTTTGAGATCCACAGGAAGGACGAGGGGTTTTACTCCGTGATGGGCAGGACGATATTCTCCCAGCCTCTGCCAGACGCTGCGGGCAGAGGGCGCCGGCAGGCTCTGGGACCCACAGCCAGCTCTGCCCAGCCCTGATGGCCTCTCCCTGTCCCCAGGCGTCGTCTCCTTCGGGCTTCTGGGGAAAATCTACTCTGCCCTCTCCAAACTGCCGGTGACGTCCGAGCATTCTGTGGAGCTGGATCTGCAGGTACAGCCGTGTCCCATTCTGTGTCCCATCCCGTGTCCCATCCCGTGTCCCATCCCATATCCCTGCACTGCTGCCCTCCCTCCACATTCACACATTCTAACGCCTCCTTGTTCTTTGCAGAATTCCCCATTCCCGAGCACCTTCATCGACTGGCTCCTCCAGAGTGAGTCTGTCTCCAGTGCCACTATGGGGATCCCCAGTGGTGTCTGTGAGCCAGAACAGGGCAGCTGAAAGGGGGACAACCATCCTGGGTAGTGGCCAAGAGTGGGAAGGGGGTCCTCATGGTTCTGAGGTGCAGCCAGAGCTGCCAGAGCTGCCGACTCATCTCAGAAGAGTCCCACAGAGCGCTTGTACCCCGCATGGCACAGCAGTGCTGGAGGTGGTTGGAGTGCCTGGTCCTCAGAGACATCCCCCAGCTCAGGTGTGAGCAGCTTTGCCATTCTGCAGCAGTGGCTCCTACACAGAGAGAGAAAGTCTGTGCACTCCTACTTATGCCCTGCACAGCCCTAGAAAAGTCACTTCACCTCTTATAAAAGGATTTAATAATATTTGCTTAATAGGAGTGAATAATGGTCCTCAGGATGCTGTGAGGATTAATTAATATTTGCAGAGGTGATTGGAAGAGCTTTCAGCTTCATATGCATAGAAAGTTAATATACGGGGGAGGGAAAGAAGAGTTGGAAGCCGTCCCAGCTTCTCCAGAGCCATATTCCTCAGGGCACTAAATCATCTCTGCCCATAAAGCCGGGGGCTCTCGGGCCACTGGCACATGGGACACCGCCAAGCCCAGCCCAGCAGTGGGGGCTGCCAGGGGACCATGGGGCTGGGGAGGCCTGGAGGAGGGAGTGCTCTGACCTGGGTGTCTCTCTCCCAGCCGCAGGTGTCAATCCCGGGAGCAATCCATAGCCTCAGGCTGGAAGTACGTGGGGTAAGGAGGATTTGCTGCCAGGGGACCTGGCTCAGAGTTCTGCTGCCAGTTGTGCCAGCGCCGGTGCCTGGGCTGGGTGGGATGAGTCCTGACCCTGCTGCCTGCCAGCAGGAGGTGATGGGGAGAGCACAGGGCTGTCTAAAAACCTCATCCCTTCAGGTGCCTCCACAGGCGATTCCTGAGGAGGAGGAGGAGGGAAAGGAGGAAGATGATACGTGGAGAATAGACATGAAAATGGAGAAAACCCACCAAAACCCCACATTTTCCTCTGCTCTACATTTCAGACTTCTCAGACTTTGGTGTCTTTTTACAGCCCAGGGTTATCTGTGCCAATGATCAGCCATGTCAGTGGTTAGCTGTGTCTGTGGTTAGCCATGCTGGTGACTACAGAGGCAGGAGCCCCAGATCTTGCCTCTGTGCTCTGCTCGTTCTCACGGCCACAAGGCACTTGTTATGGCACTCACTGATGAAGGGAACACCTTCACCCCTTGTTTCTTCCTCACGCCCACCCCACCTTCACTGGGGCTGGGGTTTGGGCCAGGTAATGGCTCAGCACAGAGGGGATATTCCAGGTGCTGGATGCAGACAGCTGGGCTGAAGGCAGGGGTTTGGTCCCCTCACAGCCACCCCTCAGGAATTTCAGGAGTTTGCACCAACTGCACCAAACCCCCAAGAAGGGAAGGCTGAAAAGGGATGAACCCGAACCTAAAAGCTGTAAACGCTTTGTCTTTGCTCTCCTTCTGCTTCTTGATTAGCTTACCATTTCAAAAGGGAATTTTGCTGTTTCCAGTGATTTCAAGAGGCAAAAAGGCCCCCAGTCTAATCCAGGCGCACACTCAGCCGATTTGTTCCCAAACAGCGACGCTTTGAACTGATCAGAGCAAGTGCTATCCTGCCTTGTAATCTCCGAGTGGATTTGGATGTGCTGCATTGTGGATGAGGTGGATTTGAGGCTGATTCACACCCTTCTGTTACTCCTTACAATAAAAAGGACTTTTCTTCATCTGCATTCAGCACGTGACTGGGTTCCTTTCCAAACTGCCAAAGGATTTTTGCATTTGTGAGGGTTTTGTTATTTATCTCTCCCATCAGCTACAGGAGTAACTCGCATGTGAGGAATATTGAATAGGTGAGTCTGCTGGGAAGGTGGGGAATCACATGCGGGTCCAGCCCCAGAGCCAGGCCTGAGTCGAGCCCAAGCCCTGCTCAGGCTGCTGAAGCCCCCCTCTCACAGCTTAAAGTAGCTACAGAAATGTGGTCAGTGTGGGAAATAAATATTCCCCTCATTTGTATTTATGCAGATTTATTCTGCCCCTGTCCCTGAGCTGCTGGTTCTTTCAGTGCCTGTTCCTGCTCCCACCTGTTACCAGAGAGCTGGGAGCTGTTTGACATGAACAAACACATCCCTGGTGCCCCATCGAGGCAGCTCCCTGATGGGCTGGGGCTGGGACCCCCAGGACCCCGGGGTGAGCAGGTGGCAGTAGCCTGCAAGCTCTCAGGCACAGGAGCTCACCCCCAGCTGCATCAAACCTCATCCTGGGGCTGGCTGTGCCACAGCCCCAGAGCAGAATGGCTGCATGGTGAGAGCTGGTGGGGCCAGGGGCAGATTCCTGAGCCCTGTAGCCTCCGGATCCGCTGGCACAGCACCATGTGTGACCACCCGCTTCCCAGCACCCACACTGGCCCTTCTGGGCATCCCTGGTGGGCAGCACCAACACCCTTCTCTGCCTCTGCCCAGTTAATCACAGAGCCGGCAACGCTACTGAGATATAATCATTAGGAGACATGGTCATTAAGAGATGTGGTTATTAGGAGATGTGGTCATTAGGAGATGTGGTCATTAAGAGATGTGGTCCTTAGGTATGTCTGGGCTGCACCTATTGCATCCCCCCTGCCTTTCACTCTTGCTGCAGTAACACCAACACAACACGCTGGGGACTCCAGGAAATGGATCTTGATGCCAATGAGCTGCATGTGCTCAGAGCACAAAGATGAAGAGCAGATTCTGGGTGCCCTTTGATGTCTGTGATGGGGAGGGCAGGAGGGGTGGCAGTGCCTTGGCCCAAGCTATTGAATCCGTAAGGCCTCGTTGGGCACCTTTGGTTTCCAGTTCCTAAGGAAACAGAAGGAGGAGGATGAAGGAACGTGCCAACTCCCATCCCAGGCTCACTGGCTGTGAATGATTGCAAAGAGAGGTGTAAATGTTCCCTCAGTAACCTTAGAGACAAAATGCCAAACCATTCCAGGTGCCGCCGTGCCATTGGGCTGGATCCCATCTCTGCTGCTGCAGAGCGAGGGGTGAGCAGCCAACAGCCATGGTGAGACCTGCAGAGCCAGTGGCAGCACCCACACCAGCCTGACCCACCAACATTAATAACAAATGGTGCCTGCAACAGGAGATGTCCCTGTTGCTGGCACTACCTGGCCCCAGTGTGCCAGGACAGGTGACTCTGGAACACCCCAGATCTCTGCAAGTCCTGGTTGCAAGGGCAGAGATGGTTTTTTTTCTGGGGCTGGGGGCACCTGGAGGTTCCTTGAACCCCACTAGGTTCCCCTGCAGTGGCTGGGATATGTGGAAGGGCTGGTGGAAGGGATGTTGCAGGGACCTGTGGCAGAGCCCCGTGGCTGGAGCCTGGCTCGGGGCTGGTAGTGCCCGTGCAAGCAGAGCTCTGAGTGGTGCCAGCTCTCCTGCCCAGAGCACCCCAAGCTGTGTTTGCCCGCAGGGATCACTTTGCAGCAGCCACCCCGAGCTCCCTGCTGCTGGTTGCACAACAGAACAACAACCTGAGGGTTGGGGCCACCAGCCAGGGTTTGCCTTGGCCCAGGTCAGTGCAGAACCAAAGCCCTGAAGGTAAACAGTGGCCTCGGCTGTGCCTGTGGCTCCACTTTTCTGTGTTGTCAGCTGCTTTGGTGGACGAGAGCACCCAGCCCCAGCTTAGCCCACTGCTGGAAGGACACAGGACCAGCTGGTCTGAGGTTATTCCAAACTTCTCCACCCAACATGGGAAGAAAGGAGCCCCAGGAAGATGGTGGGAGATGGAGGAGTCATCCCTGGGCAGGGCAGATGCCAGGCAAGGAGCAGTGGTGGGGCAGGACAAGCACTGAGGATGTCACCAGCTGTGGGAGTTTTGTCCCCCAAGTCCTGGGGCACCTGTCCACTGTCCAGAGCATCCTGGGTGCTGTTAGTGTTGACACTGCTTCTGCCATGCTGAGCATGGGATGGGGAAAGCTTTCCTGCCAACAGTAAAAGGGTTTTTCACCAGAATTTTGATAAGAAATTATGGGGAGAATTTTTTTAATGAAAAGAAAACCAGAACATTTCCCCTTTTTAAAGAGAAACTGTTTTTGCAAATGCCTCCTCTTTGGTTCTCGTAGATTCAACCAAGGCTTTCTACTATTATTTTCTAAAGTTCCTGTAATTAAATAACAGAAAAATGACATAAAAAAAGAAGGAACAGATTGAAAGACACTAAATAATGCAAAAGAGAATGAAGCATCTTGTTTAGTCTCAAAATCCTGCATCAGCCTGACCAAAAGCAAACCTTGTCTCTGTTCCCGTGCTCTAGACATTCCCCTTGCTGTCCTCATGGATGCAGGAAGGGGAGGAGGACAGTCCTGTCTGGCTGTTCATTTTCATGGCAGTGCACTGAATATTAATCACCCTCAGCCCTGTGCTGGAGGCACTGCTGCAAATCACTGGTCCTGCAGCCTCTCTGTAATTCCCACACGTGGGACGTGTGGGATCCCCACAGTGACCTGGCTCTGCAGGTAGCAAACACCCCCCCAGCAGCATCCCTGAGCACCCTGACAGGTCTATTGAACATGTCACTGTGCATCAGGCTGTTGTCATCCCTGGGTTTGCTCTCAAGGAATTGGGCACCTTTCTCCTCCTCGTTAATGTGAGAAAATAAACGTAGGGCAACGAGGTTGGTTCCTGCATTAATCCTCTCCTCACGCGGCCGACCTGGCCCCGCATCCCTCCTCACCTGTGCAAGCAACTCCTGGGAATGAAGCCCAAGGAAACAATGTCCCCAGTCTTACTGAGACTGAGGAGATCTGGGTTTTGCTCTTGACGCTGTTGAAGACACAATGAGAAAACCCCCATAGACAAAGGCGCTCGGCTGGGCTGGCCACCCTGCTTGTCCCCATGCTGGCCACCCTGCTTGTCCCCATGCTGGCCACCCTGCCTGTCCCCATGCTGGCCACCCTGCCTGTCCCCAGGCTGGCCACCCTGCCTGTCCCCAGGCTGGCCACCCTGCTTGTCCCCATGCTGGCCACCCTGCCTGTCCCCAGGCTGGCCACCCTGCTTGTCCCCATGCTGGCCACCCTGCCTGTGCCCAGGCTGGCAGCCCTGCTGTGCCTGTGCTGGCAGCACTGCCTGCTCCATGTTCCTGGTGGCAGTGGCAGCTTCCCCAGTCCGGCTGCCCGGGAAGGTGGCTCTGACCCAGCAGGAACAGGGACCCCAGTCAGGGGCCGCCTTGAAATAATGTGAATTAATTCCCTTTTACATTTCCTAGCGGAAGTTCTCCTCATGGGGAAGAGCCCCTGCCAGGCACACAAAGCATGGAAAGCAGTCCTCTGTTTTTCACAGATACAGCTGTCCAAAGGATTTGCAGCACCTTTGCCTCATGGAAGGCATTTTAATCACTCTGCTGACTAGTGCTCTTGAGAGCCCCAGGCTCAGAGCTCAGCCTGGGATGCAGAGAGACAGAGAGGGAGTGAGTGGTGGTCCCTGACAGCCCCAGTGCAGCCCCACCACAGCCCAAGAGCCCTGCCCTACACAGCCAATAGTCACTGGGCCATTCCACACTGTCTCTGACCAGCATCAGACCGTCTTCACATCTCTGATCTGTGCCTGACAGTTAAATAACTCAGCAGCAGGGGAAAAAATACTTGAAAAAATATCTGGAAGATATAGAGCCATTAATGAAAAACATCAGAAAATAGATATCAAGTAATGACACCACGATGAGAGCCTATTAATAGGAAAGGCTAAAGATAAAACTAATTTAAACCTGATGAGACAAGACATCTCATCTTCAGGAGAATGAGAAGTCAATAGTTGCCTGTCAGTAAAGGAAATAAATTGCTCACAAGGGAGGAGGGAAAGCCACAGGACTCCCAGGCCCCAGAGAGTGGCAGAGCCTGTGACAGACTGTGAGATAGCCTCTGAATTCACAAACCCCAAGGACTCAGAGCAGCCACTCACCACCGGTGCCTCTGTCATTGCCATGCAGGTCACAGCCCCGCAGTGCTCCGGGAAGGCACAGGGACATGGAAGGAGTCTGGGAACAGACGGCAATGCCACCCTGGGGGGGCTGCAGGGAAGCCTGGGGCTGGTCTAGGGGTGCACCAGGCAGTGGCAATGGAGAGCCTGATGCATTTCCAGCAGAGCACAGAGTTTGCTGTTGGCTGCAGAGGAAGCTGTAGGAGCAGCTGTACCTGTCCTGCTGGAACCCAACTGCTGCCGGTTCCAGAATGGAGTGAACTAAAGATAGATCTGATTCTAGAACTGGAAAACATTTTTGAAAGCTCTTTATGTTGTATTAAATCCCTAAGCTCTGTGCCAAGAGCTGGCTTCAGAAATGGTGATGAAAAGCCACTGAAGGAAACCTCTCTGGATCCCCAGCCCACAAGCAGTCGCGGTGCAGCAAGGAGGAGGAGGAGGAGGCCTGGGGGAATGGGCTGGCAGGCACATGGAGCCTGTCTGCTGAAGTGAAAACCCGTGAGAGAAGGGGAGGAAAGCATTCCCTCCGGCACAGCCTGGCAGGCTGCTGGCATCGCTCAGAGGCAATGCCTTGTCACCTGCCACCGCCTCAGCAGAGCGAGGCTCTGGCCGACCTAAAGCAAACTGTGCTTGCAAGGCTGCCATCAGGGAAAACACCCGTCCTTCCCTCCACCGTCACCATGACATGCAGAGGGAAAACAGACTGCAGAGCTCCGGGGGTTCTGGGGAAGGACGTGACACACCCTGGCCAGCTCTGACGCTGGGAAAAGCCCAGTGCTCTGCCCAAGC